AAAAAAAAAAGAGAGCAAAGGAAGGGAAAAAAAAAAGAGAGCAAAGGAAGGGAAAAAAAAAAGAGAGCAAAGGAAGGGAAAAAAAAAAGAGAGCAAAGGAAGGGAAAAAAAAAAGAGAGCAAAGGAAGGGAAAAAAAAAAGAGAGCAAAGGAAAGGGAAAAAAAAAGAGAGCAAAGGAAGGGAAAAAAAAGAGAGGAAAGGAAGAAAAAAAAAAAAGTCTGGAGGGAATGCAACACTAGGAAAAAAAAAACCCACAGTGTAAAGTCACTTTTCAGGTAGCAACCCAAGAAGTAGTTCTCGGTTTTGCACTTGTGTATGGCTAAGCATCCAGGTGAAGAAATACTAACCAGCCACCGTTGGTTCTCACATATCAACACTTCCCCGACCAGCTATGTAAGCTAGCAACTACACGGAGCAATGGTAGGACAGGTATCTTGAACTAAGGCAATAAACGACCTTTCCAAGGCAGCCCTTGTACTAAGCTGTGTGTTACGATATTGTCACTCTATATATTTTATATCCCTGTCAACACAATTCTGTTTGCAGTTAGTGGTGGGACCAAATTATTTCCCCTTTATTTTATCCTAAGCGTGCCAGCTATTTATGTTAAGGTTATCAATAACGGAAATCTTTCACCTTAACAATTTAAAATACATAGTCTAAGCAATAAACTCATGTAAACACTTAAAAGACTGTATTTTTAGACCAGTGCTCAGATGCAATAATAGCAAAAAGGAATTTAATAGCATTTTCTGTTGAACCTACCTCCACTTTCTCTGTTAGCAGCTCTTTGCAGGGTGTCTAAGTGCTGGGACAGTTCAGGAAGCTTCATTCGTAAAAGATCTCGGAAAACAGCCATATCCACAGAGAGAGCGCGGAGATTATTGACAAAATAGCTATCAGGAAGTACTTTATCAATGAGGTAAATCATGATCTGTGGGAAAAAGAAGTACTATTATGTAGGACTTACAGACCCAGTTATTTTCTAGCGACAACAGAAAAAATTATGCATTTTAAAGTTCTCTGTGCACTGAAGAATGGCTTGGAAACAGTGGCAACCATGTCTCCCGTACCGCCATTTATATGGGGAGAAAGCATTATCATTTTAGGCATCCACAGGTACTCTACATATCCACAAGCAAAGGCCTCTTGAAGCTGTCCAGAATTTATGAACCATTAATGTCCAAAATCAATGTCACAGTAAGCCATGCCCAAACTGGAAACATTACTCAAAACAAAGGCAACTTTTGGCACTTCTGATGCTGTACACATTTATGAGATTCTTCACACTGTTGCAAAGTTCCACTGTCCGTTCTCTGGTTAACTGCCACAACTAGAAGACTGATCTTCCAAATCATCTTTTTTCCCCTCTCCAAAATCAAGATACTGTTCTTTAAAAAACATTCTCCACACATTTTACTGTGATGTGTTATACCGTGTGCTGCACTTCATCTTGTCACTTTAAAAGGTGCTAAATTAAGCAGCATGAGACATTTTAAACAGACATCTGTTTCAAGTGAGATAACTCAACCACATGGGCGGTAATGCATTAACTGGATACTGTCAAACTTTTGAGAATGAACAAATGCAACAAAGAAATACACAGAAATTGATGTATACCATCAGCCTCACAGAAGATGCTGACCTTCACTTCAGGATCTTTTACAATCTCTATGGTGACTCTACAAACCATATCCAGAGAGCCTGCATGCGGTCATCCCACCTGCTTCAACTCTCCATTACTGCTTTATTAAAATTTTGAACAAGCATCCTTATCATCTGTTTCATACAGCCTCTAACACTTGAGAGGACCATGACACCTTCATACGCAGGAGACAATCCTCCTTCCAATCCCTCTCTTTTCAAAAGATGTCCAAAAAAATACCTTGGCAGACACTGGACTTCCAACAGCACCACCTTACATAGTCTTTGTGCTTCCTTTTCTCTCCCAGCTGCTTGTGACCGCATACCACCACTTGTCCTTGCAAGAATTTTTGGGGCAATAACAGTCTTCTATTCTACATTTTAAAGCATGTAGATCAGTAGTCAATACAGGCAAATCAATAGCTTTTACACATTTTTGTGTCTCCTGGACTTCAGGAGAGCTAACTTTGGCCTCTTTGAAGACCTACTTGGAGGAATCCCATGGATTAGGGGTCTGGAAGGTAGAGGGACCCAAGACAGCCAATTAATATTCAAGCACCACTTCCTCCAAGCTCAAGATTGTTGTATCCCTATGAGTAAGAAATCAAACAAAGGAGACTAGCACGGATAAGCAAGGAGCGTCTGGAAAAGCTCAACTGGAAAAAAGGAATTTACAGAATGTGGAAAAAGGGACTGGCCACATGGGAGGATTACAGGAGCAGCGTCAGAATATGCAGGGACGCAACGAGGAAGGCTAAGGCCTGCTTGGAATTAAAGCTGGCAAGGGATGTCAAGGACAACAAGAAGGGCTTCTTCAAGGACATCAGCAGCAAACGAAAGAGTAGGGAAAACATAGGCCTGCTGCTGAATGAGGTGGGTACCCTGGCAACAGAGGACACAGAGAAAGCAGAGTTATCGAATGCCTTCTTTGCCTCAGTCTTTACTGCTAAGGCTGACCCTCAGGAATTCCAGACCCTGGAGGCAAAAGAGGAAGTCTGGAGAGAAAACAACTTTCCCTTGGTCAAGGAGGATTGGGTTAGGGATCTTTAGGCAAACTGGTCATCCACAAATTCATGGGCCCCAGTGAGATGCACCCACAAGTGCTGAGGGAGCTGGCAGATGCTGTTGCTAAGTTGCACTCCATCTTTGAAAGGTCATGGGGAACACAGGTGCCTGAGAACTGGAGGAAAGCAAATGTCACTCCAATCTTTAAAAACAGCCAGGAGGACGACCCAGGGAACTACAGACCAGTCAGCCTCGCCTCCATCCCTGGAAAGGTGATGTAACGGCTCATTCTGGCTGTCATCTCAAAGCATGTGGAAGAAAAGATAGTTATCAGTAGCAGTCAACATCCACCAAGGGGAAAATATGCTTGACCAGTCTGACAGCCTTCTGTGATGGCATGACTGGCTGAGTAGCTAAGGGGAGAGCAGTGGATGTCGTCTCCTTCAGCAAGGCTTTTGACACTGTCTCCCATCACATCCTAATACATAAGCTTAGGAAGTGTGGGATAGAGGAGTGGACAGTGAGATGGATTGAGAACTGGCTGAAGGACAGAGCTCTGAGTTGTGATCAGTGGTATGGAGTCTAGTTGAAGGCCTGTAGCTAGCAGTGTTCACCAAGGGTCAGTACTGGGTTGGTCATGTTCAACATATTTATCAACGACCTGGATGAAGGAACAGAGTGCACCTCCAGCAAGTCTGTTGATGATACTAAAGTGGGAGGTGTGGCTGATACTCCAGAAGGCTGTGATGCCATTCAGCAAGACCTGGACAGGCTGGAGAGCTGGGCAGAGAGGAACCTAATGAGGTTCAACAAGGGCAAGTGTAGGGCCCTGCACCTGGAGAGGAATAACCCCAGGCACCAGTACAGGTTGGGGGTCAACGTGCTGGAGAGCAGCTTTGCTGGGAAGGACCTGGGAGCCCTGGTGGACAAGCCAGCAATGTGCCCTTGAGGCCAAGAAGGCCAATGGTGTCCTGGGGTGCATTAAGAGTGTGGCCAGCAGGTCGAGGGAGGTTCTCCTCCCCCTCTTCTCTTCCATGGTGAGGCCACACCTGGAGGACTATGTCCAGTTCTGGGCTCCCCAGTTCAAAAGAGACAGGGAACTACTGGAGAGAGTCCAGCAGAAGGGGCTACAAAGGGGATTAGGGGACTGGAGCATCTCTCATGAGGAAAGGCTGAGACACCTGGGGCCCTTTAGCCTGGAGAAGAGAAGATTGAGAAGGGATCTTATCAATGCTTATAAATGTCTAAAGAGTGGGTGTCAAGAAGATGGGGCCAGGGTCTTTTCAGTGGTGCCCAATGACAGGACAAGAGGCAACAGGCACAAACTGGAACACAGAAAGTTCCACCTGAACATTAGGAAAAACTTCTTTACTTTGAGGGTGACAGAGCACTGGAACAGGCTGCCCAGGAAGGCTGTGGAGTCTCCTTCTCTGGCAATATTCAGAACCCGCCTGGACGTGTTCCTGTGCAGCCTGCTCTAGGCGAACCTGCTTTAGCAGGGGGGTTAGACTGGATGATCTCCAGAGGTCCCTTTTCCCCTATCATTCTGTGATTTTTTTTTTGACATGTTTTTTTGTTTTATGCTTTAAGGATTGAAAGGAAACAGGTGATCAAAACATGGTAAGTAAGCAAGCTGGAGTCTCATATTTTGTCAGGTGCATTCCCTAACCTTCGCTGAAGAGTGGGACACCTCATTGTCTTTCAAAAATTAACTTACAACTAGACTACTTGTGTTTTCATTAATTTATTATATAAGCCATAAATCCCTACGTTAAAGAAACCATTTTATAAAGACTTTTGCTCCCTTCACACTGAGCGGCATTACTTCAGAAATCTCAGATATATGAGAGCATAGGAAAGAACAGAAATCTTTTTGCAACACTGAAGTCCATTCTGTTTCGCTGACATGTGAATTGTTTTGAGAATGCTTTTTTAAAAAAGCAGCTTCACATATTTACCAGTTTGCAACAGATCCTTCCCCACAATAATGTGCAGGAAAAAATGTTTTTTAAGTTTCAGTATCTATGAGACTTTTATGCATACTTTGACAGCTTCTACACATGCAAGCTGTGATTTTCTTGCTTACTATAAATTTCGTTAGGCTAACTTTGAGGTGTCTTCATGGATTTAACTTAAATATGCTTACCTTAACTAGTGAACACTCAAGCATCCCTGGCTGGGCATTCACTGAAGCTACTACCATCTTGGGTCCTGTGCTGTTAAAGCCCCATGGTGTCAGCACTACCAGCTGTTTCCCAGCCTCTGGGAGACACTTCCCAGACACAGAGTTTTTGTTTATAATGTCCTTCCCAGAAAGGGGACCTGACTGAGAATCCCCTTGCTCCCTTAGCTCCTAGACTCTGCAAGAATCCAAACGTAGTTTCCCCATAGCTCCAATCCTGAGGGCAGCTTTACAGGTAACGGCCTCTGCAGCTGCTCCGAAGTCACTCATCACTTGTTTCAGACAGCACAGTGACCACAACAAAATAGCCACATGCTAACTCCCGGTTTTTTCCCCACCCTGTTCTTCCCTTCCCCCTCTTCTGGGGAAATCCCAACCTGCAAAGCCCATGCACTAAACTTGGAAAAGAAATTACTTTATTTTCCATTCTTATTTTTTCCAGGCAAGACCCATTTTGGTGCTAACAGCCTTCAGTGCTTTACCTCCCCAGGGCAGTTTGGCACCATTCCACTGTCTGCTTAGCACAAGCAGCCTGACACCGCTCACAGTAAAAGACAATCCAATAATATGAGGATGCACACGGTTCTTATAATCAATTTGGACTTCACAAACCCTGGGAAATTATATTTCCTGTATTATCACAATGTGTTTTAGGAGCTTCTGGACAGTATAAGATCACAATGAAGTGTGACAAATTACAGTTAAAAATACTGAGGAAATTTTTAGCGAGAATTATTGAAAGGAAATTTTACTCTCTGATATAAAATAGGTATATTGACCCCAGCTGCCACATATAAGCAAGTTTACTTGCAAACTGTACAAATTTGCACATGATCTTGGCAAACCTTAAACCACATCCTGTAGTAAACTGTATTTCCATTTTCTGATGTAAATTTCATGAAGCTTTCTTTGAATTAGAATAAAAAGGTCTAAAGCAATAAAACACTGTATGACTAATGTTGCCCAGAAAGTAGCTTCAAAGTTATTTACTTTCATTTAAAATTTGTATTTTGTCTTTTCCTAGAATTTGCTTTAAAATGCAGCAGACTTAACTGCCTTGCCTGCTACTGCCACACAAAAAGTTGATAATGGAATCTGAAGGTTTCAGCTACCTATGGTGTTCAGAAGCAGAGTTGGGATTATAGGACAAGATACTCTAAAGACAGCAGCAGTGTTCCCATTTATTTTTGTTATGGCCAAGCCCCCATTTGTTTCAGTTTGAAAAAACTTTTAACAGTGATAACATCAAACTGTTCATTTTAGCTCACATAGGGTAACAAAAAAATACACAGATATAAATTGGTTAACTCCTTGGAGTCCTGCTCTTTTAGGCAGTCTACAAAATTGACGCACTGGTTTATTCTGAAGTTCACTAACTAAAAGTAATCTTCAACACTGGAAAAAAAAAAAAAAAATTTACTCACTTTCAGGGCATCCCCTTCATTGCCCTCCATTACTTCCAGAATAAGTGCAGCTAGTATGTTAAATCCTTGACAATAGCCAACAGATTTATTCCACCTGGCATAAGCCAACAAAACGCGTTTTAATACCACTCGATCTTGCTCTGCCTCCTGGCCACAGTAAGAACTGCAACCAGTTCGGTGAAGGTCCTTTAAGAAAAAAAAAAAAAGAAGAAAAAGACACGAACTGACAGAAAAGATGTGCATTTTCCTCCCCCTTTAGTTCTCCTGCTTGTTCCAGTTTTCCTTCCACCTCCACCCTCCCAAATACATACTCCCAAAGTTGATGACAATGTTTCTTCTTTTAATCTGTAAACCTTTAGCTTACTGAAGAGAAATAGGTTCAGCAAGCCCTTAAGTAAACAAGTTACCTAGATGATGTTCATATGAAGCTGTCACAGAAGATATTAACAGATACCTAGGCTTCAGAGGCAAGGCATAACAGCTGCTTAATCGAACAAAAAAGCACAACTCCTTTTATCAAAATATAAAAGAACTACTAGGCAACCAAGTTTTCAAAACATAAAAAAAAAACCAGAAAATTGAGATTTAAGCGACTTGTAAGAGAACGGCAAAACATGTACTACAATGTTTAATATTTCGTAAGTAGTATCTATAAGGTTAAATTACCAAGTACAGATGACAATTGTAATAACCAGGAACACAAAGTATTTTGCTCCATGTACTGTAATTAAGGGGACTATAGAATACAATCTCTCCTAAATAGAGTAATACCTCCTAAACAGGTAAATAGACTAGTATTTAAGTCACTACATCAATACAAATCTATCAAGCTCTTCCTTAAAACTGCCTACTGCTTTAAATGTTAAATGTTAATTGGACGAGAAATATAGGAAGGTGCTTCACTCCTGTAAAATAACTGAAAAATGCTCAACTGCTATATAATAAAACATACTTTTTAATCCCAGCAAACATCTGTGTTTGTTTATAGAGGATAGAAAAAACCTCCACACTTATATTCCTTTGCTCCATTAAACTCCAGTATTTGTTTTAAAATAAAAAAGTAGAAATTGAGGAAAAAAAAAAAAATACTGGTTATAGCAGTTTTTTTCCCCAGCTAACACTAACCAGACCAGTGCAGGAGGACCAAAGAAGCTGAAGAAATAACTTTGGTGGGCCAAAGGAAATTAAAATGTAATTTTTGCCAAAGGAGTTGCAGAGAACAAAATAAATCCAAATTTCATCCATTAAAAAAAATAATAATTCAACTTTTCATTAAAACATTAAAATAAAGTAACAAATTAGCTGGCTACCTTTACTATCTGGATGCCCATAGAGTCATCATCAGGATTACTTCTTTCATTGAACGTGAAACGCATGGTTTTATCCCAGTCAATGGCTATACTGTGTAAGTACTGATCAGCTAGGGTCAGCCAAACCTAGAAATACACAAAGCAAGTCAACAAAATGGATTATTTCTCAGATAAAATATGAACAGTTCTGATATATACCGTGAGACGAACCTCATCAGCTTTACCCATACGTGATCTGCTCTCAAGGCAGATTTGAAATATGCGGAACAGGACTACAGCTAAAACAACTTTTGCACAACTAAGGTAATACATTGCTCCCTAAAGCAGAAAGGAAGGAAACAGTTAGCATTAAGCACCCAGATCTGTGAACTGCTTACAAAGATGCAAGTCCATTGCCAGAAACTGAACGCACAGGGGCCCTCCAAGATGGAAGCCCACTCTCCTGCAAGGACCCTCCTTGTCAGTGCAGCCTTTCTAACCTCATAACCAACAAGTTCTAGAAAAAGGTAACACTGCTGCAAGCTTTCCTCAAACTCAACCATGGATCCATCTCCTGGAAACACCACAAAAGAAATCTAGTGGTGCTTCTCTTTACCAGAGGTCTCTTCTGATCAACTTTGCAGCAGAAATAGCATCTAGTATTAACCAATTGGGATTGATCTGAAAGTATCACTTGGATCAGAATAACTGACTCTTACAAGAGGGCTTCCTAAACTGTTGGTGTTCAGGGAGTTCTGAAAACATACATTGACTATTTTTAAAGCCTAATAATTGCCAGAACAGATTTATGCATGTGAATCTAAGACAAAGGCTGGACCTTTATTAAACATTTGAAAAGTTCCTGAACCATGACAAATCACATAACAACAATGAGTAACAATAAAGGATCTTTCTCTTCAGGAAACTGAAAGAAATCATGAAAGCAAATGGGTTGAGTTTTTTTATCAGCCATTAACTCAAGTGAGGAAAGCAACCTAGACACTTCCCACAGATTTAAACACTTAGATAGTTGCATGATGAAGGAATTTATAGACAGCTCCCAGAATCTCATGTTTTCTGCATTTAAATATCCCTTCCCACACACTTTTGCAAAGCCACCCATGCAGAAGAATGCTGCTGTTCTGCCTCCCAGCAGCCTTTGGCACTGCTGACAACCTACTGGTGTGGTCTGACTGGATTCTTTATCTCTGCCAGCCCCAGAAAACAAATGTCACATGCCACAGCAATAATGCAGATGTCACCCTGCTCCTTCTGCTGCCAGCAAAGGACACAATCAGCATGCTGCCAATACAAAATGCTTCCTTTATTTTGGTATCAATCTTAAAATCATTGGGAAACCACGGAATGGCAGTGAAAAGACAACATCCCTTTTCTTAGTGCTACTTCTTTGATTAGCATCACGTGGTCATGTGTGAGCAAACACAGAGATGGGCAGAATGTGAAGGAAAAAACAGATCTAAGTTGGATGACGTGGCAGAGCATATCCTCAGCAAGTCTACACAAAACTGGTAGGAGTGGCTGGTAAGCCCAAGGGCACTTTGATAGGCTGGAGAAATGGGCTGAAAAGAACCTCATGAAGTTCAGCAAGGAGAAGTGCACAAAGTCCTGCACCTGGGGAGGAACAACCCCAGGCACCAGTATGTGCTGCGGACCACCCAGGTGGAAAGCAGCTTTGCAGAGAAGGAGCTGGGGGTCCTGGTGGACACCAAGTTGACCACAGGGCAGCAATGTGCCCTTGTGGCAAAGGCAGCCAACAGCCTCCTGGGGTGCATTGGGCAGGGCACTGCCAGCAGGTCAAGGGGTGTGATCCTTCCCCTGTGCTCAGCCCTGGTGAGACACACCTGGAGTGCTGGGTCCAGTCCTGGGCTCCCCAGTGCAAGAGAGATACAGAGCTACTGGAGAGAGTAGAGTCCAGCAAGGGGGCATTAAGAGGCTTAAGGGACTGGAGCATCTCTCCCATAAGGAAAGGCCGAGAGAGCTGGGACCATTCAACCTGGAGAAGAGATGGCTCATGGGGGATCTTAGCGATTTATATAAATACCTGAAGGAAGGGTACAAAAAGGACGGAGCCAGGCTCTTCTCAGTGGTGCCCAGTGACAGGACCAGAGACAATGGGTACAAACTGGTTCTGTCCAAACATCAGGAAACACTCTTTTACTGTGAGGTTCACAGAGCACTGGCACAGGTTGCTCAGAAAGGAGTCTCCTTCCCTGGAGATACTCAAAAGCTATCTGGACACAGCCTTGGGCAACCTGATCCTGGTGATCCTGCTGGGGCAGGTGGGTTGGACCAGATGACCTCCAGAGGTCCTTCCAACCTCAACCATTCTGTGATTCTATGACCTCTGCCACTCATGCACCACAGAAAAGTGTCTGGAGACACTTACTGGAGTGGATAAAGAACATCTCAGGAAAGAAAAAAAGGCTGTTACATGGACATAATGATTCAATGGAGTTGTAGATTAAAAATAAAATCATAACAGTGTGAGGAAAACAATGCCACTGTAAGTCTTCCATTTCCTTCCCTCCTGATTTGTAAAGAGAAACACTTTGGTTTGGAAAGACAGCAAAAAGAAAACACGAAAAAGAAATTAAACTGACACATCAAAAATATATGGAACTACATATATGTTATAAAGCTTTAAAAATATTCTTTTTATTAAGACTGCATTTTTAAAGCTGAGACTGTGTGACTCATTTTATAGAAAAGATGAATAGACATGCCTTTTTCTAGGCTAGGGAATTTCAAACATTGCTGAAGAAAGCAATAACGTAAGTTTAGCAAAATCCCACTGGACTCGTTCCTACAACACTAACTCAGTGCAATTTCCCATTGATGGCACACTCTACCATTCTACATCACTCCTGACTCTGAAATTCCCTAATTTAGACAATCTGCCTTTCCCCCCTCAAATGATTCTATAAGCATTCATGTCAGCGCTAGCATCTATCAGCTTCACCTTCATAAGTATGACAGCCTACACTGGAGATTTGCTCTCCTTTCAGTTGATCTTCAGCTCCAGGGGCAGCTTCACCAATGCAATTCCTTGAGACTGACAGAATGATGCAGTAACATCTGCACCAGAATAAGTTACCTAAGCCTCAAGCAGAAAGAGCCCGACTATTGAAAATACCATCTTTACCTGTCTCCTCAGTCTCTCCACTTGTCCTGGGAGGTTATCACTGAAGAATGTAAACTAGGAAAAATCTCCAGTACAACTTAAACTTAAAACTTTTGAATATTTGTTAAAAACCACTGTCATTCACCTCTCCTAAGAAACCCACAGGCAGTACGTTCCGCAAAGCCTACACCTCTACCTACCTTTCTCCGCCACTCTTTCGGTATGCCTGTCGGCAATCTGGCCACTGCTTTGAGCGCATCATGCCACTAAAAGCAAAAGCATCCAAAAATGTATGAAATCAACCATTAGTTTAACGCAACAGTATAGACACGCAGACATGCACATTCATTTCATTTTACGGCACACATTTCAGAGTTTAACTGCTTAATCCACACATAGGGAAAATACAGATTAATTAATGATATAACAAAAATAAAGTATTCTAGGACACAAAGACTTATGAGATATCTGAGTAAACAATCAAAGCCGATTGCATTTTCCATGTACTAATGGAACAGCTCTTGATGCAATTGCAAGTAATATGCTGACATTATGATGACAGATGAACTTTTGAACTAGAGCAAGTACCTTGATTGAAGATAACCCCGTCCTTCATAAACTCAAGAGAAAAAGGAATCAAATTACCTGCTGAAAACCATTTTGACCTAAAGACGGTTCAAGAGTGAATTTCAATTTTGTATCAACCCCTAGAAACAAAAAGGAAATAAATAATCAGAGTCATTATTTTAATTTAGCTCAGAAGGGGGGGGGGAAGACTCAAACCGCAACTGAAATAAGAACACAAGATTTCAGCTACATGTTTCAACAACTACATTTCAACCTGCTTCCGTGAATTCTTGCCTTCACAGCGGATTCAAGGCAAATGTTAAGTACACGGGCAAAACGTTTTTATAATGCAGTAATGCCCTCTTTAATAATGTAGTATGGCACATCCCATTTCACTAAAAATCACGTAGTTCACTGTTCTACAAACTATAATTGTATGCTGCAAACTACCACATGCATCCACAGGAAAAAATATACACAGTTTCTTTCCATTTATTTCTAAGTTTGGGGTGCCAAAATTATTTTATTGCTCAGAATATCAATTTTTCAACAGTTCCTCAGAACAAAGCACATTTGGTCAGCATCCTCATTGAGGCTCAGATTTTACGTCGGCCAGATGAGCGAATTATTTTAGTCGCTATAAGGCACGCCTGCTGACAGTCTATAAAAGACACTACTGCACACAACGCGAGGAGCTCGAGTTTGGCTCCCACTGGTGCCGACTGCGGCACCGGAGTGTGCCA